TCCCTCCCTCCCCCCCCAGCCCTGGAAGGGATTACAAAAACACTCAGTGATGGATACAAACTGTGAGATGCATTCATAAAAAAATAAATAAATCTTACTCTGGGATAATCTCCTTAAACCCAAGCTGCTCTACATAGCTCCTGGCCTGGTTTGAATGCAGCTGCTCCATGGCTCCTGCCCATGGGGCTCTGCCTCCTTCCTGGCATTTTGCTAGATTATCTCTGTGCTTTGCCAGCCCCTTGAGATTAAGCTTGTTTTACTCCAGATTCAGCTGCTATTTGCTCAGTGTTCAACCTGCACTGCTCATGTTGCCTGTGCTCCACTGATTCCCTGAGAAGTTGCAGGATGGCTCAGTTCCAGTTGTAGTGCTCAGGCCTCAAAGGGGATGGAGGGGAGAGACAACACCCAGTGGAATCTGCCTTGAGACTGAAAAACCCTTCACTCATTAGTGGGGCATTGCTGGGATCAACAGCAGCAAGGACAATCCTCATGGGCATATTCTAAGTAGAAAAAAAACAGACCTAAAAATCAGAGTGAAATGCAAAACCTTAGGGCAAGTGTAAGCTCCTCTCAAAGCCAGAGAACAGGTAGGACATCCCACCTTTGGAAGCTCCAAGTGCTACAGAGTGAAGAATGCCAAGAGCTTTTGAAGTATGGCAGCAGCAGCTGGTGGAGAGGAGCCTGGAGCACCATCCTGCTCCTGTTCAAAGCAGCAGAGCCTCTGTGGAGTCCCAGCATGGTGCTGGCACTAAAGGAACTCAGGGAACAGCTCAGCCCCAAAGACAAATGGTGCAGGAGATGAAAGGTTGAAGGAAGGAACAGCAGTGAAAGCAACAGCTTCTCTCCCTCACCCCAGAAGAGCTGGTTGAGGCTGAATGGGATGTGGATTGAGAAAGAACAGGATTGTCCTTCCTTTCCAATTAAAAATGATGGATTGATACACCAATAGCAAAAAAGAGAGAGGCAAATCCTTCTCATCCAGCCTTGAGTATGGAATCCCAGAATGGTTTGGGCTGGAAAGACCTTCAAGTCATCCCATCCCCCCCCTCTGCCATGGGCAGGGACACCTTCCACCAGCCCAGGTTGCTCCAAGCACCATCCAACCTGACCTGGAACATTCCCAGGGATGGAGCAGCCACAGCTTCTCTGGGCAACCTGTGCCAGTGCCTCAGCACCTCACAGGGAAGAATTCTCTCCCAACATCCCCCCTAACCCTGCTCTCTTGTCAGCTTAAAACCATCACTATCTGACTGTATAACAAGTGGCTCTCCCTCCTTTTTGTGCTCCTTTAGGCACTGGAAGGAGCATTAAGGTCTCCCTGAAACCTTCTCCTCTCCAGGCTGAACACTCCCAGCTCTCCCAGCCTGGCTCCATGGCAGAGGAGCTCAACCCTTGGAGCAGCTCCATGGTCTTAATGTTCCACACCACGTTCCACATCGAGCTCCAAGGAAGGAGGAAAAAGGAAAGGAGGAGGAGGCAAAAGGAGGACTGTGGATGCTGTGAAGGTGGAGCAGGAGGCAGCAGGGACACCCCAAGGCTCCCAGGCTGTGGGAGGGGAGACAGTACCTGAGCAGCACACAGAGCCTCCCCAGGGCAGGCAGCTGGCAGCAGATGGGAGGAACACGGAGCTACAAGCCCAAATCCATCCTAGTTAAGAGGAGTTTTGCTCCAGTAGCTGTGGAAGGACAGCTGCTCTCCTGCAGCATCTTCCTGCTCCCAGCAGTGATCCAGGCTGGAAGCTGTGCCCAAACACCACCGTCCCTCACACGCCTGCAGGAACACAGGAACTGACAAACCATCTTAAGAAAATGAGTTTTATTTCCTTCTTTTTTTTTTTTTTTTTGCTTTTAATTCTTTTTTTTTTTTCCCTTTTTTTTTTTTGCTGTTGAACTCTGCTGTTTACAGATATGTTGAACCCCTGATAACACAGCTCGGCAGCAATCAAACAACCCCCACACTGCAGTGAGCAGAGCAGCTGAGCTAAAACCCCAGAAAACAAGGGACAACCACCACTATTTCTATACAGGAACTATAGGATTTTAATGTCACGGTTTGACAGCTGGAAATGGGCTACACGACCATACGTGGGCAAAAAGGCAAGAAGTGAGTCCTTTGAAACACCAGATGTAGAATAAACAGCTCGTGATGATCAACATTGACATGATTCACATCAAATTGATGACACCCTAAAATGTATTTCCTTTTAAAGGATAGAAATTTCTCAATAAAATAGTACATTTCATTTAATACTCTGGTACAACATTTCACACACTGCAGGAAACAAAAAAATGCAAGGTCTAACCCACCTAACAAAGAGGATCCTTTTTCATTAGTCTTTAGTACTGTAATAAAAAAAAGTAAATCACAATAATGTCATAAATAAACAGGTTGGAAATTATTAATTCTGTGTGACTAGTCAAAAGGGAGAAATGAAAAAACGAATCTGAAATAATGAAGTTATGGGTAGGAAAACTCCAAACCTGACAACACATCCTAGTACCAGCTGTGAATTTCTCATCCCTACAGCAAAAAGGAAACAGGTTGTCTAACTTTGTTAGCTGTATCCTAGTTAAATCAGGTTTCCAACACAGATTTTGAAGAGGCAAAAGTAAAGTTTGGTCAGGATTAATAGGAGAACCAACAAGGCCTAACAAGAGTTAGCTGAAATCAAAGTGTATGTCTAAAACATTCAGAAAGTGAAGTGTGCAGTGAATTCATGCTGGCATCAATTCTTGGGCCTTAGGACTTGGCTTCCATTTCCCTGGGGGTAGGAGGTCTTCTCCAAGAGAAACCTTCAGCCCTGCATCCCTTCTCCCCTCACTGACAGACCTGGAAGCAACATGAAAACTGAATCCTCTCCACAACTCCCTAGGAAGACCTGAGGCCACATTCACTGCCCTCCCCAAACCAAAGATGTGTCTGGCCTGCTACATCTGTCACAAACATCAACTGCAAACTGACTTCAGATTACTCCAGAAACACTTCAGGAACTGTCCCTCCCTCCCTGGTGTGGGGAAGGTGAGAGCTGATGGTGCAAAGCCTCCTGTGAAGCTCAGCAGGGCCCAACTCTGGTTCAGAGAGGAGGATTTGTCCACAATCCTTCAGATTCTGCTCCCCCTCCTTGACATTCCCCCACCATATGCTCCC